AATGTCGTGTTCAAGATCTAGGTTTATTTCTACAACTTTTACACAAAATGTATTTTAAAATTAGAATACTTTTTCTTCTATCTGCAACAAACATATTTTATAGAAATAAAAATTAATTTCTTCATAAATTAAATACATTCATTTGGTTTGAACGACAACTTTCAACACAATTGGTTCTTCGGAGCACTTGTACCTCGATGTTCAATGTTTTGTCGAAACGTAAATGATCATAATGAAAAAATTCACGCGTTTTACTATGAGTTGTTGGAATCACATAGTAAGTTGTTTTCTAATTTTGAGCATTTATTCCAAATAATATAATAATTTATAACATGTGTTAAATTACTCACACAGATTACGTATACTTTCCCAGCGCAGACGTGAGTAATATAGACATACAGGAAATAGAAACGGAGGACGAAAAGGGTCGTTCTCCTTCTCTCAAATTTTCATGCACAAAAGTAACAACGGGAATAAAATTATCAATTTTTCCAGTTATCCAAGGCTTCAATATTTTTAGTTATTCATTTAAACTAAGTGAAGATGACTCCATATTTCTTGAAACATCAGCTAAAAAGTAGAAGGAACGTTGGGAAGGCCTGTGCCATAGAGTTAACCTATTATTTGAAGAAATGAAGTGTGCCATAACCTACGTAGACTTTTACAATTCAACTAGTAACTACTCAATCGTAACATCTGTAGGAAGGTTTGTTATATTTTACTGAGAGATGGTAAATGCTCTTTCTCTTTACATCGAATGCGGACTAACCGACCATAAGTCTGTCAGAGAAAAATTAGAGAAGGTGAAATGCTTTCATCCAGGAATAACACAGAAGTGTTTTGTGTACATTTTCAATTCTGTGTGCAATTTTTGTGCGGGACGAACAACGCGAGCTTTCGAAGAAGCATATCCTTCTGTCAACTATGTCATTTTTCACTGTTTACCCAGTTTTATATCAGTTAATCCTCCCGAAAATAACCATTTTCTTGATGGCGACAAAGAGTGTTCAGATGATTTATGTATATTTGGTTTTATTTGGTGGACATGAATACACTGTTGTAAAGTAAATAATTCTGCTGGAATTGGAAGTTAAAGCTGAGTTTCATTTGGATGTCTTGCAGTATTTCCTTTCCATATTGCATACGCTTATATTCAGCAAGAAAATTACTAATTTATATGAAAGAGTAAAGTATGTAAGGGTGATTTTGACTATAATAAAAATTGCAGATTGAGTTTTTTTATTTACTCCCTCTCCCCCGGGGGAAATTTCGAAAAATCCCTTGTTAGTGTGCGTTTTCATGACGTTCCCTAACTGTGTACCAAATTTCACCTCTTTAGGTTCATCCGTTTGCTCTGGGCGTTGATGAATCAGTGACTCAATCAGTTAGTGACTCAGTCAGTCAGGACAAGTAATTTTATATATTGAGATATATGCTGCTCGTAGCGAATTATCGAATAATTTTATAGACGGAGAACAATTATTTCTAGAAGGACACGTCATTGGCCTACATTTTGAAAAAATTGTAGATATAAATTTCCATTATCGTCTGAATGTTCTTCCTTAATCTCGACAATGAAGTTAAATAAATATAAGTCAAGACAAAATATAAAAACGTTATAAGCAGGAGGCCCAATTAACTATACAAGTACATCCGATGCAAATGGGATGCTATGTTATTTCAATTTAAATAGTTTTTTTCCCCAGAAGAAGTTAGATAATGACCGGCAAGACTATTAAAAATATATTAATTTTCCAATATAAGCTTTTCTTATCAATCATAACATCAGAAGGCATCACAATAGTGATTATAATCANTCGTAGATTTCCCATTTTACAATTACGTGACTCATAGCCTGGTGATAACGGAGAAAAGAGACAGATAAGACGTCGGTATAAGTCACAGTTATGATTTCACAGATTCGAGACAGCTTGGTAGCCCGAACGGCCCCAGGCTTTCGCCCGTGCACGCTAAGTGACTTTCATTACAAGCATTTAGCTTTCCGAAGTCTATGACAACAATTGTTTGACATTGACGGGCGCGAATTTCGTGCCAATAAGTTGCCTCGACTTGCTCGATTATGTTATCAACTCAATTTCATATTTATTTTCACATTTTCACTTCGCGGTCTTTCTCTGTTCTTTTTCCGTTATTTACACGTGTAGGTCATTTCATTGTTATACACATTTGATATCATCATTTATCACATACTGCCATGACGCACTTGTCTGTCCGCCACAACTGTCAAGAATTAACGCAATTGGCGAAGCGTAGTGACAGCGGGAGAACAGAGAGATGGGTCCTTGCATTACGAGGTTTGCGCGCCCATTTTCGTACGTGCGTTAATCGAGCCGAATAGTTTGGACGAATATTCGGTATTCGGCCTAAGGCCGAATATACTATTCGTTGCAACACTAGTATAAATTACTTGTATATTGGCAAAATTTCTTTGATAACATTTATTTTTTACGTAATTTGATGGAAAAGAATCTAATTAATAAACATATCAAATTGTAAACTCGCTGTAAATTATCTCACCTTTTACCGATCGTTGTCGTATTTGTTTATAAATAGGAAAGAAATATGACTCATTCGTGTGAAGTTAGTAGACATTTATTACTACTGCAAACAGATTTGTTAATAAATTTTAAGTTATCCCCTACTGCGAGAGTCAATAAACGTTAATTGTTTTATGACTCTAACGACAAATGCTTTTTTCCGGGTTATATATCGACTAATTGACAAAGTGTTTTTATTTTATTTTAGTATTAAGAATGTTGTCTTTAATATTTAACAGATACTTTTGTTAGACTTTTAAACAGAAATTTTATTTTTAATTCTTTATGTGATGTAGACATGTGTTAGGATTAACTCGTCACCAGCTATAAAAAATTAACGTCGTTCAAAATATTCAAAATTCTCTGCTGATAATTAAGACATAAATGTTTTCTCAATATGAAATACAGCATTCAAAGAAATAATAAATGGACCATCGAAAATACGGCAATTTACAACTTGTATGAAAAATGAATGGTTAATGTTAAAACTCCATACTAGGCACTTTAGCTATTTATTGACAGGTGCACGGTGGTTAAATAAACAGGATCTGTAGTCTCGAATTATAAAAGTGTGTACCACGAACACGAAATTTCAGTATAACACGTGGTAAAAATCATTTGAGAGCGACAATTCACTAAACGAGTTCGTGAGACACTTCCAACACATTCCAGTTGCTACAAAATGAATACATCGCTCTTATACGCGTTTGGAACGTAAAGTAAATAATTCTGCTGGAATTGGAAGAAAAAGCTGAGTTTCACTTGGGCGTCTTGCAGTATTTTCTTTCAATATTGCATACGCTTATATTCAGCAAGAAAATTACTAATTTATATGAAAGAGTAAAGTATAAAAGGGTGATTTTGACTAGAATAAAAATTGCAGGTTGAGTTTTTATATTTACTACAGTTAATGTATTTGTACAACCTGGAACGAGATTCGGTAAAATGCAAATCAGATGCTATGTTATTTCAATGTAAATAGTTTTTCCCCAGNAAATTGGTAATTAGGGAAAAAGTATTTAGTGTATTTAAGCCATAATGATCTTGACAACAAAATTTTTTACTGTATTCTAGTTACAAAGTAAAAAGTAAATGCATATTTTTATTCATCAGGGAAAAAGATGAGTTTAAAATATTGCTGTGTATTTTAATAATAAATGTGTTTTTAATGATTCATACATGCTAAAGGTGTTTAACCATTAAAAAATGATATGTTTAATAAAACATATAACATTTTTATTGAGGAGTTGGATTATTTGAGGAATTGATTAGCCTATGGGAGATAAGATGAATAGAAAAAATATTACCCCAAATGTATGAAGTTTTAGCCTATTTAAAAGCTATCATATATGCCATAAAATACAGTATACTTTTATATGAAATATCTTTGAACAATTGATTTTTTTACTGAATTCTAATCATTTACTTATTATATATTTATGAAAAATTCTATTATGTATAATTTATCATCCATAGATTTAGAAAAATTATTGCATATCACCCATATGTAGTTAAAAATGATATTATATGTTTTAATGTCTAGTGTTTATATACAATGTAACATGCTAGAATCTTCTGTTCTGGCAGATTTCCATTTTATAGGAGGGTAATGTTATTTAGAATTCTTTTTTTTAAGGTAAAACAAGCATTTTGTGTTACAAACATATTGAAAATACTGGCAAAGAGGGAAATCTATAAAACTTGTACACAAACAAATTAAACAAACAAAAGGTTTTTCTGGAAAATGGACTGTTAAGCTTACTGAAATTTGGAATGTTTCAGAAGAAAAGTCTCAATTAAGCAAAAAGCATCCTGAATGTCTTTTTAAAATTATTAAAGAAATTGTAATCACTTTGCATGTTACCAGCGAGATCCAAAGTAAATAAGATAATAAAGTTAGTCAATGAAACCAGAATTTCTACTAATTACTTGTTTGAACATATCCTTTTAATAATGTATGAATCTGAATACTTGTTAATTAATAGAACAAATTCATTAGGTATTTGTTTTGTGTAATACCAACTTTGACAATATAAATTGCATAATGCCAGCAATTAAAACATGTTATTTGTTTGCAATACTAGTTTAAAGTTAATCATTTTAATTATTAAAACTGATAACTTCTTTTCATGCTAGCCATATACTGAGACTGTTATTTTTCCTTTCATGTTATTTATCTAAATATAATAATACCAATGACTGAATTCTGATTACAGTAAGCAAAGTTTTTATAGTGTATTATAACTGAAATCTGCTAATTTCAATAATATTAACCAACTGATATTATCATCTTTGATTACAATAAGTGTACCAGAAAACTAGAACTGTACATGAAGATAAGAATTACACCTAATTGAATTTCTTTGCTGGAAATATTGAACTGAGGTGTTAGATAAATTATTTTTCAAAAATTGTATACAAATCCCAGCAAATGACAGTGTTTTATTTTAATATATATTTAATATTTACCTTGACAAGCATCTTATCCATATACTGCCCACTAGGAATACTGTCCAAATATTTTTTTAGATCCATTGATAAATATTCAAAAACCAAATACAGCCGATTTTGTTGCATAAGTACATCTTGTAAACTGAAAAATACATATTTGGTTAGATATGTAGAAATAATCTATATACAAGTCGATCCCCCTATAACACTGTTGATAATTCCGTTTTATATGAATTCCATATTGTACGAGTCACTTAGATTTTACAAATACGTCAGCCGTTCACAGCCCGGCACACGTATCTGTAAAATCTAAGTGACTCGTACAACACGGAATTCATATAAAACGCAATTATCAACAGTGTTATAGGGGGTGGGTCGACTGTATATAGAAATGCAATTAATACCATTATCTCCCTTACAATTTAAACTGTAAAAATGTTTAATATATTTAATACTTTTATTTATTATTTTATAAAATTTCTTTGAAACTTAAATTCTTTTACATTTTACATAATTTCTTATATTATATATGAGAAAAAATTAGCAGTCAAATCTGAGTACCCTAAACACAGTCATCAGATTATTGTTGTTCACATAATTTCAAATTAAGACTGCATTTTGGGAGTAGTATTTTTTTTAATATAGTGTTTATAATGAAGACTGGCTATAGTATTCTGCTCCCAAAAAAACTATTGTTTTCATCTACATTTAAAGAATAATACTTGTATTTATATTTAAATTTATTTTTTTTAATATTAAACTAGATTCTATTAAATTAATTTACAAACAATATTGAAAAAAATATTATTAACTTTAATCTGATTTACCGAACAATGTTGATATGATTCAGTTCTTTTAACAGTGATATTTCTCTTATGGCTGTAGATGGAACACCTTCATCTTCACTTTCCAATCTTATTTTCTTTAAGGCAACTAATCGTCCAGTTTTTCTGTTTTTTCCTTTATACACCACTCCATATGTTCCTTTTAGGTTTATATTAAGTATTAATAATTTAATTTATGAATTTATATATAAATTAATACAACTTTACCTTCTCCAATCTTCTCTACTTTTATATAATCATCCATTTTTAATCTCTTCTTCTCTGTCTTCAAATGAAAAATACAAATATTTTTAGTAAATACAATTGATAATGCATACTGCTTTAAATTTATTAAAGAAGAGAATATGAAATCGACGGCTGATATATATATATATATATAAAAGACTGAATGATCTATACAAGACAATATTTGTTACTGTAAATACTGTATTTGTTACTGACAAATACAGTAATGATAACATTACAGTAGAGCATCGATTCGGGACTGGGGTTGTTCGGATAACTGATCATGTACGAAAAAATATATTAATTAAATAACCTATCCCATGTTGAGATTTTTCCCCGTTGCCTAACGAAAATTAGAGAGATTGCAGCCGAAATTCAAAGGTTAAACTTGTACGGAAGTACAGGTTTCACGTTTAAACTCCAAGTAAAACATGTTGCTGAACACGGTCACAGGAATATCCCATGAGTCAGTGTGCGACACTAACTAGTGGGATATTGTCGAAAATGGCGGAAACGTTAAAGAACGACAAATGTTTCCAGCGAAGGTAAATACAGTCGACACCCTATAATGTTTGATAATTCCATATATGAATTCCATTTTATATAAATTCCATGTAGTACGAGTCACTTAGATTTTACAAATACGTGTGCCGGGCTGTGAACGGCTCACGTATTTGTAAAATCTAAGTGACTTGTACAGCATGGAATTCATAGAAAACGGAATTATCAACAGTGTTATAGGAGGGTCGACTGTATTTTTAATTAGCGTCGTTTCTTATACCGTACGATAGGACTACGTCATAATTTTGTTGAGGGTAGTAGTGGTTTATATAAATCCGAAAGCAGCTAGGAAATTATTTTTAGAAAATTTACAAAGGAATTACGCTATTGATGGTAGATGATGCCATGGTAGAACAAACCTAAGGCTACAGAATTATGATAAGCTATTATGAACAGAAATATATGTAAATTCTACATCATTTGCTTAAAAAATTGAGTAATTAAATAATTTCTGGATTAAAATCGTCTGTTTCTTTACATTATTATTTATAAATGCTTAAATAACCATCATTTTAATAATACACGTCATAATTTTAACTCCAAACACAAAAAAAATGAAGTAGTTTAAAGCCATATTCTCCTCACCATGCTTGTGTAGCCAACGCCATTATCAACCTTGTAGGATTGCCAGATGGTGGCGCTGACGTTCGACATTCACGTTTTGAGTGAAAACGTCGGCCGCAACCTTTCTAATATTATAACTTCTTTTTAATATAATATAATTTAAAAAAATTCATACCCTTAAACTGTATAATTATCCAAAAAAGTTCCGATTCAGCACGACGCACAGTCCTCAGGAAAACACCACACAAAAACAAAACTTACCACTCACGGTGGGATAAAAAGCCTCATTTAAATATTGGCACGTCCTTAAGTATCTTCTCGCAGTTGCGCCAGTGCTGCCAACTAAAACACGCACACCAAAAATAATATTGAATTAGCCCAAGACATAGCCAAATATTGCAGCGCCACAACACTAGCGAAAATTTAAATTCGCCTACTGGAACGCTTTCGGTTGATCGTTATTCGGATAATCGATGCTCTACTGTACTTGACAATGCCAAACAAGTACAATTCAGCGAATCTCATTTCAGATTGTCCAACTATATGAACTTTAATAAATGAAACACAAGTAAAACACTTCCTGTAATTTTTCTTCTAATCACGATCACCTTTTTTTATTTTACCGTGTCACTTAAATTACTGATTTTCTTACTGGGTACAAGCGTATGCAATATTGTAAGGAAACACTGTGAAACTTAATAGATGATGTTTTGAAAAATATTTAAAAATATACGGGCAGCTAGTATTCACCCTTCTCCTCCTGTAATTTTTATGAGAATGTTCCGCGAAAGACGATACCAGTAGCTCTCAAGGTCATCCATCTCTAAACACCAGGGCTGTAGAGTCGCGTAAAAATCTACCGACTCCAACTCCGACTCCGACTTTTCCTCACCATCTGACTCCGACTCTGACCAGGGGCGGACTAGTTACCGAAAGAGACCCGAAAATTCTGATGTCATTACGTGACCTTAGAATAAAAAAATTCAATAAATAGAGTTCTAATAGATAGAACGTACAAACCTTTTATTTCAAAGCTAAAAGACTCCTCTGAGTAATATATAAATATGTATTCGATAATTTTTACTTTTCTAGTTGTTATATATAGCAGAGGATATATAACAAAGTGTAGCGCTCGGTCAAAAACTGACCTCTCCCAAATTTTTACATTTTTGGACTCAGAACACCTTGAACTTTCGACTTAATTAAACAAAAGATTCGTGGTTTTTTCTATATGTGTGGATGTTAGACTGTGTGTGGGGCATGATTTTGTTCACCCTGTTTGAAGCCTAATAATTTCTGTGATCAAATAGGAGTCAGATGGTTTAACACAGGAGTTAGTTATTAAGTGGTTGAACTAAATCATGTCCCCATATACATTCTTGCATCTTAGGAGAGAACATCTTAACAGTATTTACTTTATTATAAAGTGACAAAAAAGCTTACTTTGAGGGTAGAGACGAGTTTTATTTTATTTTTTTAAATTTTAAACGCTAATAACGAGTAAAATATTCATTAAGAGATATGACACACGACCACTGTTATGTCTTTACCCTGTCGACCTTTAATTAAGAACCAAAATTATTCATCGGTGTCAGATTTCGCAGAAAGGCGAGACAATGGAAAATAAACTTTGAAACTTTCTCTTCGAAATTAACGCATTTCTTTTGTTTTTTTTTAGTTTTAAGTATTTTTTATTTTTAATTAAAAATTCCTAAAAAAGTAGGAACAAAGGAGTTTGAGGATATTAATGTAATGTAAATACTATCATACTTAATGTCTCGAATACAGGAAAATATAAAATAAGCACAATGAATACAGTTTATTCTATTCGATAAAAATTGATAAATTCTTTATCTTATAAAACAATAAAAGTGTTTTAATTAAATTAATTAAGTTTCCCTTGATAAACGAGAAAAATATCTCATTAATTTAATGACATTACTATTTTGAAGTGTATAAATCATGAAGGAGCTCATTTGCATGTAAACTGAAGCATTATTTACGAAGTCGTTCGAATGTAGTAAACGTAGTAAGTGGAATTTGTTCGATTTTCAGTGTTCAAGGTAATATAAGAGTGACGTTTAATACAATGTCAGAACTATTATTTATCATTGCTTGAAATTTACAATATTAACTTTGTGTGAGTGAGAGAAAATGTCGAACGTAGAAGAACAAGAAAAATTCGACATCGACAAAGTGACTATAGTGAACGACAATGGAGAATCTGTTGTGGTATCACGAACATTATTGATAGAAAAGGGAGGATTACTCAAACACTTCATAACTATATGTCCGAATGAAGGAAAGTTTATTCTCAGACTACCTCTGCCTTTGGAACTGCTCGAAGAATTTACCAGGTTTGTACAGTACCAATCGGTTTCTTTAAACTAGGGACATAAAGGTTTAAATTGAGCTTCGAGTATTATATGGTAAAAGCGTAATTTAGTTTGATTATAGACGTTGTATATCTCGCTGTCGACAAATATTGTTATGGCTTTTGGGTATAATAATGTAGAATTTAGGAAGGAAGAGCCGAAACATTTTAGGATCAAAGTTACTACTTGAGAAATTACTGTTTGAGACAGAACGTGATTTTTGAAAAAAATGATATGGATAGAGTGAAATGAAAAACAACTAACCTATAAGTTAAGAAGGAAATAATGGTTAATGTTTACCTAAGTAGTCCAAGATGGCCGCACAGTGAGGACCCACGTTCTAACTTAACGTAACCTATTCTAATAAATTAACAAAATTTTCCTTTCTTCATATAATTAATTTTTTGAGTTATTTTACATCTTACATTAGTAATTTTGTTAATTTATTAGAATAGGTTAGGTTAGGTTAGAACGTGGGTCCCCACTGTGCGGCCATCTTGGACTACCTAGGTAAACATTAACCGAAATAATTAGTATAAAATTCAAATATCAGGTTCTGTCTCTTCAGCAAAGTGAATAAAAGAGATTTGTAATCATTAAGAAACGAAATTTGGCATAATAGTTTGTGTATAATAGTATTGATACTATTAAATTTTGGTTCTAAAGGTCAAAGTTATGGAGAGATGGTCACCAGAGCAGTCACTTGTCATATAACGCGTGGGGTTGATTTATGAAGGTTTTACATGTTAGCATTTATAGTTTATTTATTATTATTATTTTTTTATAAAAGCCATATTTAATATCTCAAAATTAACGTCTTTGCCATTTTATTATAATTAATTAATATAAGAATTTTTATTAAAAGATTTTCTATAAACAGATGGAGCCACACGCTATTTTATTTGTTATGATGAATAATACAAAAGTTATTTTTAAAATAAATTCTCATAACAGCCAGGAAACACTCAACTCATCGCTAGATTTTTTAATAATTAAGCTTTGCCATTACAGCTCTTTACTTTTTCTATTTACGTCGATAAGTATTATAATTATTATTATTATTATTGTAACGCCTTTTAATCATTGCAAAATATATTCTCGTTCTAGATTTCCGGAAGACGAAAAATTTCCGATTCCTTCTGTAAATAATCTCTTCCGAATGTACTTATTCTGCAAACAATACTTTATGAGTGAATTGGAAAAAAGATACTTTTATTATCTCATCGTATTGCTATACTTCAACAACGTTTGTAGCATTTACGATTTGGCATGCAGACACAACGAAACACAATTACAATATCGCTGTTGGAAATATTTCAGTTTATGTAATAAAAGTATATTTCTTACAGATGATTTTCAATCGTGTGAAGAAACTACAGTCTACAGGTTACTTACTTGCCCAGTGCATAAACAATTAAAGGAAGTCGATTTGTTTTTTGCACTTCGCAGGTGGATCGAAAAAAGAGTTCTGAAAATGAAGGCAACGAATGATAACGTATGGAAAAGAGACGTGATAAAACCTTTTCTACCATTGATCAGGTTTTTTCTTATAGAACCAGAAGTCTTAAAACAGATTTTGAACAATTGTCTTAAAGTTCAGATTTTAACAGTAGAAGAAATTCACTCCATAACCGAATACATTGCACATAAAAATGTAGCAAACCTTCCAGTAATAATATCTGCTAATGTTAAACTGAGAAGTTTTTCAAATTATTTTTCGTTTATGGGCAAATACCCAGTGACAAAAGAAATATTAAAAAGTGATATACCCATGAAAGAACATTTTCAGTTTATGACTGATATTTGGGTATCCGAAAAGTGTTTCTTAGACGATATTCTATTGCCAATGGCCCTTAATAAATGTGTGATAAAGGTTTTGGTGGGTATGAAGTCGACATATTCTGATGATTTTGTATACGAACAATGCACTTGCGTTAGGATGGGAATTATACATTTAGAAAAAGGGAAATTGTTGCCGAAAAACAGCTTTCATATTTTTTCGGTTAAGATTCCAAAACGGGAATTAGATTCGACCACGATTAAGGTTTTAAAAAATGCACGCGTATACGTCCCTATCTACGATTTCCGTGATGCAAATACGAGAAGTAGAGATGAAAAAACGAAATTTTCATGTATTCTTTCGCTCTGTTTTTAGAAATTTGTTTCTTGTAAGATAAAAAAAAAATTATATACTTTTAACAGAATGAATATTCGTTTATACTTTAGAAAGGTTTTATTTTAAATAATGCGTATGAATTTTACAGAATATCGAGAATAATTAGACAAGATTACATATGTAACTACCAGTCGACCCCCCTATAACACTGTTGATTATTTTGTTTTATATGAAATCCATGTTGTACGAGTCACTTAGATTTTACAAATACGTGTACCGAGCTGTGAACGGCACACGTATTTGTAAAATCTAAGTGACTCGTACTACATGGAATTCATTTAAAACGGAATAATCAACAGTGTTATAGGGGAGTCGACTTGTATATTTCAATCTTTATCGTGATGAGAAACTGAAATTATTTTTCTATTTTCGTAATTGGTGTAATATATAATCTGACAATAAATCTTAACAATTTAATAAACATTAACTGTGTTTTTTACTTGGCTTTTCAGGCAACTCAAATGAGTCACGTCATTTAAATTGATTACCCTTGTTCAGTGAAGATTTATTTACACGATTCTGGTGATATGTCGTATAATGTTGATCTGAAAACGTTCCTCTTCCTGTCTATAATGAAATTTATCATTAAATCACCGAATTCTTTTAAAATTTTTATGTATAAACTATTATTTATTGAATAGAAATAAAACACATTTAATGGTCTCTCTTTTTTAAATATACAATAAACTCCGCTTCGATTTCAAGAAGTCTTTGGGATTACATGCATTATGTTACTGTAATCGATAAGATACTAACGACCGTTGGCGCATGTTTAATCTATGTAACGTTTTTAACTTATGTATTAATTGTATTTTTACATCTTGTATGTATAAGACAATAAACATAAAAGTTTTTAAATAATCCGGCTTTTTTCACGGATTGGTAAATACCGGAACGTGTAAATACATGTATTTTTCCTGTTGCGAGGCATGACACATTTCACATCGTATGTGTACACGTAGTGTGAAAAGTCTCGTGTTTCGTAATGCCCTGTTTTGCACAACGAAAATGGATTTCCGGCCTGCTAAAGAATAACCAAAACAATATGAAATGGCTATTTTTAATAACATTCACTGCAACACAGACACACTGCAAATAGGCAGAAAATCGCATTGTAAAAACAGAGAGCTGTACAAGTATACAAAAATGGAAAAGTATGATCCCTTCATTAAATGGTCAGTAACACTCTTCCAGGACTTAATTATTATTTAATAATTTGGTACTAAAGATGGTGCTTAACTTCTTCCTCTAGTACCAGGTTACTTAATTTGTAGTTATTAATAATAGCAAAATGATGGCCGTATTTATTTGGGATATTGTTTGGTTTCGTACCGATGCATCGGTTTCGGGATGTTTGTAATAAAACCGCAAAACTTCATATATAATAAAGTAAATTAATTTTAATGAACGATTACTTGCAAAAATATAATTCAATTTATTAAAAAAACACGTTGCGATTAGTGTAGTATCGAGTATTTCCTTCTGGAGGAAGATGGACTAATAATACAACACGATGAGATGCAATACAGTGAGTGCACAGCAGTGAAACCAGAAAATACGAGAAAGGCTTGTGGCTTAAGTAACATTTTCATAGAAACAAAAACTCATATAGGTGATCAATGAAGAAGGGATAAGCTGAATTATTGAGGCCCTGATTAACGACTTAATATCTACAGGAAAAATGAGGAATTTTTACCGACTTCATATATAACTTATGCAAAAATATTGAGAATATTTAAAATTTTAGTAATTAAAGCAGAAATAAATGTTAATTATTCAGAAAACTTTTATTAACAAAATTTAGAAATTTTTATAAAATTCTAAATTATGAAATTTCTATATTAGAAACAATTTAATCGACATTTTAGTCATTGAATATGCAAATGAAACAGCTGCTTACTGAAATTTCTGTTGAAGTTACAAGGGGACTGACAGCAAAGTGTTTTATTGGATATTGTCCAGTAATAGTTTGAACAGGTGTTTAATAACTGTAATTTTTACATCGAAATTTGTATTATTATTATTATTATTTCGTGTTTTCTCAGAAAATGCCGGACGACTTAGCGCAAATGATCCTTGACGAAGTAACTCTGGTTTCTGACTTAGTGCAAATGACCCCCAACCTTGACGAAGTAACTCTGGTTTCTGAGAGTGGAGAAATTACTATCGTTCCGCGAACGCTCTTAATCGAGAAAGGAGCATTACTCAATTTCGATTTAAATTACAACGAAGCAAACACAATTCTCAAATTAGACGTGAATTGCAACATGCTCAGACAACTTGTTAGGTTTGTATATGATTCTTTAATTCTTTTATTCTATATTTATGTGTAATTATATTTTACAACCAAGTTGTTTAATGTTATGATTGAATAAAATTTACTTCGTAAATAAGTGAGAAAGTAGCCAGTTACAAAGACATGCCAATAATTAGTGTCACTGACGTCAATTCTCAAAAGCCCTTAATTATTTGCATTTCATAAGCTTTGTATTTTAAATTATCAGTTTTTCTCATTCACTTCTAATGTTCTACAACATGTTTTTTGCAGGTTTATGTATGATGAAACCCCTACTTTCACCAAAGTTGAAGATGCATTTCAAATGTACTTATTTAGCAAAAGAAAACACATCAGCAAATTGGAAGAAATATGTCTTACTTACATTATCGAGTCGATTCACACCGGAGGAGTTAAAAATGTTATAGCTTTGGCATGTAAATTTAATGACTCGGTCGTAAAATACCATTGTTATAAATATTTTTCTACTTCGTTTGGGAAATTCATGATTGACGAATGATGACTTTGTCTTGTCAGAAAATTACTATCCAGATGTTACATACTTTATGAAGAAATGTAAATATTTTCAAAATAACTTAGGACTTATTGTGTGTCTTTTCAACTCGTGCTTTTTGAGAAATTTTTTTAAATGTATAACGAACTCTTCCCTTCTATTAATCAGATTTCTTTCTATTAAACCTGAGCAATTAGATTTCATTTACTCTTTCGACATTGTGAGATTTCGGACTTCAAGTTAAACAATATAACTTCTCAATATTAATTTTGTAGGCCGGGATATATGTCAACTTACACACCTGAGAACTTAAGTGACCTTCATATATTCTGTCCCGATTTCGTCGTTTAATATGACAACTGGCAGCCGGTTTTGTCAGTCATCGCCAGTTCCTCAAGCGGGTTAGTCATTTGTGTGCGCCTCAGTTTCTTCTGTCCGAGTCATCGTGGAATACACTGGCTTTGTCGGAGGAACAGGCATTACCGCTATCTCCACTATAGAAACTCCATCCCTCTTGTCAGCAACCATACCTTCTACGGTGGATTTACAAGTTACGAACTATCATCGAGAACTTTTCTCTTACCGATCCAACCTGCACTCTATCCACGCGCGCTCTATTGTGAACTCTCTCTTTCTCTCGCGCTTAACTGGCTGGGCAGTCTAATTTTATGTGTAAACAACGAATAAACGGGTATATGTGATTATATAACTTGTCTCAGAGTGCCTTACTTCCGTTGCGCTTTCTCATAGTCCTCCATCCTGAATCCGATCGCTTATGCACGCCACTGCTCGCGTGACCTAGTTTCTAACAAATACCCATTCGCTGTCGCGGCTTCTGTGTCAAACGGGTGTCATCCTGACGAGGCATCGAAGTATGGTGATAGTCATGAATGTAAAAATTCTGATCATTTTTGGACTCTGGGAACTTAAAAGGTCGAGAAATACAAAAAATGGGGATGTGTTCTGTATGTGTGTGGGGGGAGGAGAGGACACGAAGGCTTTTGTTCACGCACTTTGAAGTTAATAACTGCTGAACTTCTTGTCGAAGATTTCTGAAATTTTGCAGGAGGGTTTGTATATAATCGATGCTATTAAAGATTGAAAAGGAGAAATAGAGAAGCCACGTGTCACATCTGGAATGGGGTTGAACTTAATAAAGATTTTCTTCGTTATTAGCATTCGAAGTTTTTTTATTTTTTACTAAACTCTCCTGTACACTTAAAAATAACCTTTGTCACTTATAATAATTATTAATTATATAAAATATTTTAAATAAATTTCGTAACAAATGGCGTCACACACAATTTTAACCATTTTTACCAGGAAAGTTATGTAACTCATTTTTAATTTTATTTAGACGTTAAAGAATAGATAGTTTTCTAAACTTGTCCACATATATAACACTATAAAATACAATCTTTATTCTTAGAATTGTCACTTTCAGTGTTTCGTAATTCTTCATTGATCTATAAATATAGAAATCTATAAAGATTGTATACAACAGATAATCTAGTATTTAACACTTAGTCTTAATAAGTCCGTATGCATGTGTGTGTATTTATCACACCAGTGAATGAGATTAATTCACAAATTCTTTAATGATTATTTAAAGAATTTGTGAATTAATCTCATTCACTGGTGTGATAAATACACACACATGCATACGGGATTAATTCACAAATTCTTTAATGATTATTTAATGTAAAACGGCCCGATAGTACCAAGTTACTTAATTTGTAGTTATTAATAATAGCAAAATGATGGCCGTATTTATTTGGGATATTGTTTGGTTTCGTACCGATGCATCGGTTTCGGGATGTTTGTAATAAAACCGCAAAACTTCATATATAATAAAGTAAATTAATTTTAATGAANTAATAAGTCCGTATGCATGTGTGTGTATTTATCACACCAGTGAATGAGATTAATTCACAAATTCTTTAATGATTATTTAATGTAAAACGGCCCGAGAAACAAAATACGAATGTTAAACAATTTACCAATTGTTCTTTATAAATTTTTCGAATAAAGAATCCTCGAAATTACTTCCATTGTTCAAACAACTGCTCAGAGGAAAATGAAATTATATAAACTTGGGGGTCATACACTGGAGGAAGACTGTTAAATGTAAAAGTAATTTCAATTAATTATAATAAATTACAGACTTTCAGAGTAATAAATCAAACAAAGGAAAGTAAACTGAGAAATGACAAATGAGTCGTTTTGAGGAAAATAAACTAATTCAGTCGTCCAGAAACTCGAAATAAATTCACTTGTACGGAAGTCGCTCCAAGTTTTTGTTATTAGGTGTTTAATATTTCAAATTATACACTTAAAGTTTCTGGAAATGGAGAGTGTAGGGTAAAAGAAATTAATTTTTTTTGTATTATAATATAATACAAAAAAAAATAATTTCGTTTACCTATTCAAAACAGTAAATTTGTGTCTTACTCAGAGAAGACTTGGCGTTTGACGTGTACGATGGCGAAGACGATGAAGTCATGATACAACCGTTCTGTCCAGTTGTTATTTTACACGGAATTTTCGGTCACAAAGGAAACTGGATCGATATTGCGAAAGAAATCGCCGAAAAAACTATCAGAAAGGTAAAGTAAAACAATACATAATTAACAACGTTATTTATAAACTATGATCTATTATTTCTGTTCGTCACAGGTATACGTGCTGGATATGAGAAATCACGGAGATTCGCCAAAATCTCCTGTCATGAGTCACGATGCTAACGTCCAAGACCTAGAAAAGTTCCTAAGAAAATTGAACACGCCTTGTGTTTTGATAGGACACAGTCTAGGAGGAGTAGCAGCTATAAAATTGGCATTTCAAAAGGTTTGTTCCTTTCATCACATTTATTTCTTATATTTAATTATTGTTTACAAAATTCTAACGGTGTTTTTAATTAGCAATTCTGAATCGTGATGAACAGATATATCAGATAAACACAAATACATTTATATGGGCGTGGGTTCGGATCCCACTTCTGACACCACTGTGACCGAAGGGGCAGAGTTGTCCTCTTGTAGTAATTCCGGACATCCAAAAGGCTGAAATCCACACATTAAATAATTTAATCGATGCACTTTACAATACATGCAATCCACCTCATAATAAATATAATAACGAATACACATTATTACTCCCATTTTATAATTATTGTATTTACCATTTAGATATTGATTAATTTGTTTTAAACGAATTTTAGTCAAATTTGATTAAAGACCTGATACTGATCGATATGTCTCCATTGAGGTATCCTCAAAACACAGTACATTTAATACTGAAGGGCCGGAGAACATTGGAAGAACTACTGCTGCAACTTCCGACAGACATTGAGTTGGTCGAAGCTCAAAATATGTTAGAAAAGGAAATGAATAAGTTAATAACGGTAAATATGGTCAATAATTTTAATAAATTATTAAGAAATATCATTTAAATACGTGATTTTGTTTATAGTACTCTAGCTTAAATAAGATCGTGTGTTCAAATTTGGATAAAAGTGAAAGCGGTTGGAAATGGAAAGCAAACTTAGAAGTTCTAGAAACAGTTGACTTCAAAGCAATGGGTAGTGTTTTTCCTTTAAGAGGAATTTATAAAGGAAGATGCCTTCTTGTTCACTCCGATTCATCTGGATACGTGATGTAAGACAAGTTTACATTAGTCTATACTGTACTATTACACAATCCCTATATGTTTTTTAAAGTATATTGCGTATAAATAATATGAAATAATTGTAATAAAATTACTTATATTTATAGTCCGGAAGAAGATTACGATAGACTGAAAACTCAATTTCCCAAGATAAATATCGTGTGTTTAGAAAATTGCAGTCATTGGATTCACATGGAGAAGCCCGATGAATTGACGCATTCTATTGTTCAACATTTGAATAAAAATTAACATCCCAGTTAAATAATTCAGAAAATTTTATTGGTTCTTGGCATTTATTTCTGTTTTCTTTTTTAATTCAAATTATGAAAAAATGTACCCGATTTTCTTTGTCGTTATTAACTTTATATTCGACATTTCTCTCGTGTATGAATTATATTTAACACAGCACGATGAGCTGTATTTAAACTGTTGTTTATTTACTACAATAAATTTTTGTCTAATAAAAAAATAAAGTTTCTGTAAATTTAATTCTCCCAAGTGTATAAATCGTGAATACGAAGTGATTCATAAGCCCCCCTACATTAACTTGATAGGGTGGTAGAGGTAGGTAAATTGACCTTTTTTTTTTTGGTCAGATAACACGGACGTTATCATGAACGTCACAGACAATAGGAAGTGTTCGCATTTCATTTGGTATTCATATTCATCTATTGTTTTAGGTACGTTAGTGTAAGCCACTCCGATATTCTACTGCAACTGTGTTCAGCAGGGTGATACGTCGCGTGTGGCACAGTGCTCCCTCCCTCTTTAATGTCATCAAGCGGGCTAACGACACGCTTCGGATCTCGTATTCTCTGGCAAAAAGTGTTTCCCCCCACCTCTACCAACCCTTCAAATTAATGCACGAGCTTTTGTGTCATCCGGTACCAAAAAGATCTTTGAAGAAAGTGGAAACATGTAAAAAAAAATGTAATTTTCATTAATTGTGTAATATTTCCTGCAACGACTTCTTTGTCTACTCAAGACTTATCAACGAGGAAAATTTCAAAAAATGACAAATATTATAATTTATAAATGTATAATAATTACAATTTTTATATATATAGTCCTATATATTCTAAATTTCTATATTTCATCAGATTGAAAATGATAAAGATGACATTTTAAATGCTATGTCAGAAATTATTAATACTGTTGCGGATAGATTTATTAATTACTAATGATGCTTGTATCATTTTAAGGACTGTAATTAATTCGCTATTTATATCTCTGTAATAATAATTATAATAATAATAATTATCCAATATTGATAATTAAATGTAGATAACGTGATGCCAATATTTAGTTTGTAATGTTATACAGTCGAAACCCCCTATAACACTGTTAATTATTCCGTTTTATACGAATTCCATGTTGTACGAGTCACTTAGATTTTACAAATACGTGAACCGTTCACAGCCCGGCACACGTATTTGTAAAATCTAAGTGACTCGTACAACATGGAATTCATATAAAACGGAATAATTAACAGTGTTATAAGTGTCTTTTCACAATCCTGTAACATTGAAACTGGATACTCCCCATTGTAAAGATTGTTGCAGCTAATTGGTTGTAAAATAGCTAATTATAAACATCTTTTAAACGCTAGTTGGCTTATTTTAATGCTGAGTGACACTATTCAAACTAGTAACCATCTTGTCAGAGGTCTCTTGTAATAAATGGGAGGTGAAAAGTAATGTCTCCTGCTGTTATGTCACTGGAGAAAATGATAAACGGAAGTTTAAANGTTCTGGTGAAGAATGGATCCAGTGTCAAGAATGTAAGAACTGGGCCCATTCCAGATGTAGAAAATATCGTGACACGTTAACATACTTTTGTCCGAATTGCGGTTCTGATGAATCTTGTGATGATTTATGAATATATTATTATTTTCAGTCAAAGACGACTTTCTGATATGATTGAAGACTGATAATTGATAATTTCAAGACTGAATGGCTACTTAAGCTAATATAATGGTTAATGTTTTAATCTTTAAGTAAAAATTATAAATGTTAAAATGTAAAAATGTTTAGTTTATAATAAATTTAAGAAAAACAACTAATTATTCATAAGATATTATTTATTAGTCCTTAAATACGTACTTAGTTAAATAAATTATTGTTTTTTTTTCATATTACACTTTCCATAAATCTCTTAACAACTTGCCCCACCCTGTTAACAACTAGCCCCGAATCGGGGTAAGTTGTTACTTTCTGACTTTAGGTATTGTATTATTAATTATAAAAAATCTTACCAAAAAATAACCCCAAAAACTGTCTTAATAGCAAAGTTAGATATATTAGTAAATTTTAATATCTCAATACATATGCTAGAATTAAGTTTCATTAACAAATTATGAGGTTGAATAAAAAACGGAACTTGTAGCCCCGCTCTCCCCTACATGTTTAGCATGTTTCTATTTAATTAACATATATTATACGTAAGTAATTT